GATATCGTACCCATATTAACTCTTTGTCACTCGTGTTTTCCCGCGCTTTACGAAGTTTACTCGTTTTTACCATACCTTTTCATTGGCTCCCTTTGTTACTTGTCCCTCTTCTGATTGGCTGTTGTAATAACTTTGATTTTGGTTTTGCGACAATCAATCGAAGTGCGCTCTACTCCAGCAAAGGTAGTGGTCACGTGGTTTAGACTTCCCCAGGACAATGCGATTTTGTTTACCGACCACATGAATGATCCTTCATTTTTGCTTCAGGTACTTTAATTATGGTGGGATCGGTATGGTGATCGGACATGAAATAATACATGGGTTTGACAACAGCGGTAAGCATAAGTTAGGGAAATTTAATCCAAAAAGCTATTTGTAAAATGCTGATCAGAAAGCTTGGTACACAAGCGGGAAACACGAAGGGACTCCTATCTTTTGATAAAAAATAAAGAGTTCGTTTTGCCCGCCGGGAATTGCACGCTTTCATCAAAGTGAAAAAAAGACAAAAAAACACAAAAAGGATTGTCTCCGTTTTAGCCCGGAACTTCTAGGGAAACTATTATTACTCGTTAGTGGTTGGAACTCCAGTTTGCCTCGGTTTGTAGCAACGCAAGAAATGCCTGGTCGATAACGCCTATCTGCATCTGCCTGATATTCAGATTGACTTAAACCTCTGAACAAAATATTTGTCATATTTTTCAGGGAGATTTTTCGACAAGGATGGTAACATAAACAACTGGTGGTCCATCGTTTCTCAGTTTGGTTTCAAAAAGAGGACGGAATGCCTTGCTAAACAGTATTCTCAATACGAGGTCTATGGTAAAAAGGTAAACTGATTTTCTCTTCTTTGAACAACGCGCGACGAGTGCTAGATTCAGCGAGAGTCATCTACCCTGGCAAGCGCGAGCAAGATTCCACGCTCACATAGGCTCTTTTAAGGTGGCCGAACACAGTTTTCGCGCGCGCTTTTGCTGATGCAATTCAGCGCGCGCTCAAGGATTGCGAAAAACAAACATGGCTTCGATAGAGCGGTCATTTTATTTTCCCAACTCGTACCCGCACTATCTGTACTATTTTCTCCATAGTTGGCGCAGTGTATTGAGGGCTTTAATCTTTTATTACAAAGATATGTTAGAAAAGTTAACGATGCAAAGAACCCAGCAATTGTCAGCTTTTTCGTCGTTACCGAAAGAGCCCAGTTAAATGCAGCGCATGCGTAGTAAGTAAAAAACTGCGATTGAATGGAAAAGTGCTCTCTCGGAAATATGGCTATTTCTTGAGAACCACTTATTAGAATTTCACGAAATTTGGCACGAAAATACTCTAGGAAATAAGTAAGTGGAGTAATGAAAAAAATTGATCTTTAACAAAGGAAGTTCTAGATAATCGAGTGAACCTTCAACAAGGGATAATTAAAGATTTCTCTGTTAAATTGTTAGCAACTGAAAATGGTATTAACTTGTGAGTATCGTTACAAGCTCGTTGCATGCAAATTATTGCTCACCGATCGTACTACTGACTTAAGATAATATTACAATTCATGACGATTAGTTATATTTCCCGGGTACTTTTGAAATAAATTGCAAGAAAAACTTCTCAATAGGAGATTCTAACTTCCTCTGTAAATTGTTATGTTTCCACGGGATTATATCTGCCATAAAACCGTCCAAAAGTGCACATTCCATTGCCGTTCGGAAAGACTGAGTGCTGCGATAAAACACAAGCTGCGACTTATTTCTCAGATTTGGTGTTGTTGAGAAGGCCAGTTCTCTAATGCCCATTTTGATATTTAAATTGACAACATAAAGATTACGACAGAACGGCCATAACTCAACCACGACTCTTTTACTTTTCATCCGCCATATTGCTTTATGCGCCTGCAATGAGAAACTGACCTGCGGTAAAAAAGTGGTTTGTGTAATCAACGGAAAGTGTTCGTTTGCTTGAGGCTTTCAAAGATGGTTTGCTTTGCTGTCATTTACAAATTTCGTATTTTTGCTTTGTCTGGCAATGGGTAAGCTTTTCTTAAATTTATTTTATAGCATCATAAGGTGATACAAAGAGCTCTTCGTTGTATACAATGATTAAGAGCCAAGACATCTTCCAATATCACAAAACGAAGAAAGAAATAGATCAGAAAATTGGTTGCAGAGCCCCGTGTGTGGAGATGGAACGAAATTTAAGTCTTTAACAAACATTTTTCTGAAAAATGTAGTTATTCTTATGAAGTGCCCTTGGAGAGCACGCGTGATAACGAGCATTGGTAACAGGTATCTCCGCTTTAGCTGCTTATTAGCTCCGCTCCATCTTTTTCTCAACGGTCTGAAAGTTCCTTCTATAAGTCCACAACCTGAAAAGTTTTCTCTCGCGTGGACTCTCGTTCTCCTCTCTCAACAAGGGCATCGAATATATATTCTTCCTCTAACACAGTCTTCTTTTTTAAAGAAAGCTTCCCACTCTAAGCGACCGATGCGAGACGTGAAAAGTATGATGTAACTTGTTGCACGCTGAGCCAGTCTTTAAAAGAAAACAATTATACGCCATCTGGTCCACGAAGTGACTTCAAGTTTGAGGCAACAACGGCAGGGCCGCTCTTATTTCCTCTCTCTTATCCAGAGAGATCAAGAGTTTTAGAGAAAATGGTGAAAGAAACACAGGTATCAAAAACTGTGTTCAGCCACCTTAACGCGCGTAACTTACCAGAGCTACAGTAGGCACACATTAGAAAAATTACTTTAAAGAAAAAGCGTCGAGACTTCTACGCATCCATGCTGATATTGCGGGCTTAGTGTTTGAAGTTTTTCATATCGTTCTACACATGATTTCTGGCTCTCATAACAGTGAAAGAAGAGGACACTTCTGGAAGCCCACAAATGGTTTTGCACTCTTGGCCCAGAACCGATCTCTCCCACACCTACCCATTCCCTAATCCTCCTTCCCCCAGCCAATAGGTGGGGAGTCTGAGGACAGAAATGAGGGCGATATTTTGAAAAGAGCAATAGAGTAAGACGAACTTTTTTCAAATACTTTTGTATGTTTATTTGCAGATAAATGGGAATCAAACAAAGAACGAGAACATCGCCGACAACGGAGGAATCAAACTGGCATACAAAGTATGATTATTATATAATTTTGAATTCAAAGTAAATTGAAAATATCTCGGCTACTCTTGAAATAAATATGTCTCATTTTGAATTTGTCTCCTCTCAGGCGTACGAAACACTTGTCCAAAAAGAAGGGACCGAGGGGGCTCTGCCAGGACTGGGACTGACAGAAAAACAATTGTTTTTTGTGGGTTTTGCGCGGGTTTGTATACCACAATTTAACACTTTACGCACTATTACTACGAGGATAGCTGAGAAATTGAATATTGTTACTATTTTTTAACCACAAGACCAAATTTTCCTTAAATTAAGTTGGCCACAATTGACTTAAGAGGAGGATGGCGCGGAGGCGAGATCACACGCCTTTGTCCACTAAGGGCTCGGTTCTAATCCGGAACCTGACATCACATATGGAGTGAGTTTATAAGTGGTCCTTTCTCTTATTCTAGATGTCTTATTCAGTTTCTACGGTTTTCCTCCCTCTACTCGAACCAAACTCGAAATTTCAATTGCCTGTAAGTGAAATTCGGTTTTTTTTTTTTTATCAAACAGGAATGCATGCCTTCCATAAACGAAAGTTCTTTTATAATTATTGAGCTTTACATTTATTCATTTTCAGCCGTGGTGTAGTATCTATAGGAAGAAAGTAGCGCATCTTCAAGTTGAAACTGATGAACATACGTTTCCTAAGTACAGGTAATTTAATTTTGTCAGAAAGTAAGAACGAGGGGAATCCCGCCGGTACCA